CGACCTTTCGTTCTTTTCAAGAACCAAGTATGAGTTAGCGGATCGCAATCCGCTTACTTCAAGAGTAGTTATTGCCTTCCCACTAATTTTAAATCTTTAGATTTTTCTAGACATACTAAATATAAAATATACTCTAAATAAATGCATAACTACTGGCTACCTAGCCCCGTACCGTATTCCTGTTTGGGTGTGTGGTCACGCCATGCACATCTCGTGTGACACCCCCCCTGTTTTTAGGGTATGTCTAACCCCGTTACAATAATTCCTAGCAGGAAAGAAACTGCTTTCTTCCTCCTCAGCTTGACTGGCGTCCATCCTCTCAGGCGCGCTCGTAAAGCTTCCACCTTCCGAACATCAACCTATTCAAGTTGTGCTCCGCATCGAATGTGACACTCAGTTAGGATGGGATAGATGTTTCAAGCTTGGTCGCACCTACTTTAAAAAGGTTGGTAATTCCGATGGTGGATCCATCACTATCGCGGTGATGGTAGTCTTCAGCTAGGATTGTCTACTGTATCGCCTCACATGGTCGATGAACAGAAATTTTGATCGCACCGGGTACGCTTGATTATGCGGTGCACACATTCACAGCTTTTGTCGCTTTAACATTAATATGTGGAGAATGCCTCTTCTACAGAGCAACTGCACCTTAGCGTCCGTTTTGCGCGCATACTCCTAGCTTGGATACCGCTATATTGATTTTTTTCTAGAAATTTCAATCATATGTGATGCTATAGAGAATGATAGAGAGATACTTACTGGGTAAGACATAGTTCAAAGAAACTAATATTAAACTGACAACAAATCGATTGTACATGGATAGTAGATACATTGTCTGCTAAAAATGCATGAGTTCGACTCTATGATGGGCATCATTTTTTAAAGTATATTCAGACACAGCAGTAGAATAACAATACCAAATAAAAGATAATTTAATCAACAATTACGGTAAGTACAAGCCAGGTGCGCATAAAGGTGAAGCCAGCTAACGTGGCGAGTGATAATCAGTTGAAACGTACTAGATATCTACTGAGAGAACAAACTTTTGTGGGCGCCAGTCCGTCTGATAAATAGTTGAAGGGAGGGAATCTATCATTACAAATCTACTGTCTTGATGTTTATCTTGTTACTTATACGTAAGCCTTTACATTGGCGGTCACATTACCATTTATATTGCCCACTAGTCACTCTAGCAAATGCGACCGTAGTATTCCAATGTGTTACTCACCGTCGCTGAGGTACATAACCTGCGAGAACAGTGCTAGTGGAATATCACAACAGATTTTAGTGCAAGACGTTTTATTACATTAAGTTTCGCGAGAACAGAATAATCAAAGTTGTTCATTAAAGGAATGCCTGAAGAAAAGTTGATATTGCTGTGCCTTAACTTCTTGCAGCTTCATCTTGCCAGTCAAAAACTATATACAAAAGATCTGCCGAGGTGTGAGTGTCGCTCGATAGGCTGACGAGTCTCGTGCGAAGCTGACGGAACTTTGATGCCTCGAAGTGATGTTTCATAATCTTAATGCTTGCATGATAATGATACGAGCTTACTCACCTCTTCAGAAACCAGGAACTACATCATCAACAATCTCACTAATGTAGCGCTTTATTTTTCCAACTGTATCCGTTTTCGTTGCCTGCCGATAGACTTAAGTTGCAACAGCTTTCGCTGCAACGCGACAATTCATCTTCTGTGATTAGAACTTGAACTAAACCGAATGCAAGATTCTCTACAGAGACAAAAATCGGGTCCTGATACTCGTTATTACGAAGAGCAAGACAGCGATTATGCAACCTGCATGCTCAAGCTATTCTCCAATCAAATTGCCTAATATAGCAATAGTATTATGTTATAATCGATATTTTCTACTCGAAATATTTGGTCGGGACAAATTTTTCGAAGGTGATTGCAATTTAAAGAAACGTGTATATTTCTTGGAAGATTACAAGAAGCGGATGTCACGTCAAAGGACAATACTTTCTGATATCACGAAAGGTCAACAAAGTGCGATCAAATATACGTATGATGAAAAAAACGGTGTTACGACTTTACAGTACATGACGAACGGAATAGTTTTCTGCCTTGGAGGCGCATGCTATCATTCAGTAGCTCTTTGTACTGGGCGTTATACTTATCAAAACCATAGTTGAGCGAGTCATAGAAATTGCATCTTGTACACGCTACGGTTAGAACTGCTACTTTTTCTAGAATGACAAAGGTCGACAAATCGTTTGATCTTGTTAGTAGCACGTCATTAAATAGCGCACGTAACGTGTCTTTGTGCTTACAAGCAATTCTCGGCCAAAGTTCCTGCGATCTTCGGATAATGTATATACACCGTTTCTATCTATCAAACGCGTCGAAGATAGTCATATAGATTTTCCTTGCGCCACGCGATTGTACACTATAGATTTAGTAGACTCAAGTACAATGCGTCAACAATGTGCTTGTAAAATTGTATTCGTAATGAGGTGGTAGCTTACACTAGAGATTAGCATGCCCAAACTACATAGTACTCAATGCCGTAACACTGTTTTTACATAGTACATTTTTGGTGAAAAAGCAGTGATGCAAGTATACACACCGAATCTGTCGCCTTATAATTGTCTGCACCGTAATAAGTCACAATTGGACGACCAATTCAGGGTCGGACCGTGCTTACCTATAGTATACTTTATTCAAGTCATGCTGCATAATATTTCCTGCCTATGACTTACTTCTTATCACGCACCAAGTAAAAGAAATTTCTGCTGCTGTCTCCTCGCCTGCGTTTCTGGAGACGTCCGTCAACAGCATCGACGAGTATCAATAGCGCTGGAAAGACTACTGCAAATCTCTTCGTGCCGAAATGGACCGCTTCCGCCTCGATGGCGTGGACCAAAATGGCGTGGACACTGTAGAGCCTATGCGTCCTAGTTCTTTCGACATGACTTTCTCTCTAGGCAGTTATTCAAGCGCACAAGGGATCAATCGAGACAGCGATCATCAGAACATAAACACGCAGGACAGTACTGATGTGATTGATGACAAGAAGGCACTTTGTCGGGGTCAGAAAGGTAGATTGCACGTAGACGAGCTCATGGATAGTATGCGGTCGCAAGAAGTCGAAAGCAACGGCTCCAACCAGTCTGCAAACTACAACAAGCTCACATCAGATAGTTCACCAGCGTCTTCATCCGTACAAAAGGACATGGCCAACATTGTATCGAGGTTGGAAGAGAAGGCGCATGAAGCAATTGATGTGTCTAAATTATGCGGAAAATATTCGTGGAAATTGGCTAGGCGAACACAAGATGTTCACGTTTATAGGCCAGCAGTTCTGCCGTCCGAGGAAGATGCTTCGACAAAACTCTACTTTCGCGTCTCGTGCGAGGTAAAGGCCCATCTAGGTACAATCATGGAATATCTGATTCCGAGTAACTCAAGAAGTTACTTTGATATTGAGTCACAATTATTTCCAGGTCTTTTACATGCAGCAGTGATCAAGCGAATAGAATTGCCTGATCGTACGCCGGCATATGCAGCAAATTCTGGACAAACAATACTGAATTCTTCGTCTTCTTTGGCCCCAACTTCTGCTAGTGATAATCATGATGACACTGCAAGTATTGATGAAGACCCTAGTGATTCGTTCCCGCATTTGCATGTCAAGTGGCACGCGAGTCGTTTTGCTGGACGTTTTGTCAAGCCAGTAGATTTTTTTTTTGTCGAGTACGCAAATATCGAAGCTATGGCTGACGGAAAAAAGCGTGGATATGGATATATTCGGTCTGTTGAATCATTTAAAGGAGACGAACTTGCCAGTCGATTTGCTGGAGAAGACGTGATTATTCCCTCAAGTGTTGCTAAATGCAAGCGTGCGGTGATAAATAAAGGCGTTTATTTAGTGTCACCTACAGGGGATAACTCAGGTACCTACGAAGTCACTTGCATGATGGTTATTGACTTTCAAAAACAGTTTACAAGCTCGGTAGGAGCCAAAATTATACACAATTTTACGGAACGACTAATTGGGATTCGCGAGCTGCTCTTTAACACACTATTTCGCTCCATTGCAGTGCTGCCAAGAGACCAGTGGAAACCGGCTCGAAGTAATAAATGCGCAATATGTACGTGCTCATTTTCGATCGTAAAGTCCAAGCACCATTGTCGAGCCTGCGGTGAAGCAGTTTGTGGGCAGTGTAGCCGAAAATGGACGTTGCAGCCTGGAGCCCAGCCTGAGACACAAGCTCGACTCTGTACTAGCTGCTCGTTGCAAGCGCGAAGTTATCTTATGCCAAATGGAGAGGCTAGTCGTTCGCCTGCTGGGGCGTCCTCACGCAGTTCGTCAGTAGCCAATGATTTAAGTGCAAGTACCAGTCAATTTGCTGGAAGTCGTTCAAATGTGTCTCGCGTAGAAAACGCTTATAAATGTGACGTTCAAGTTGCAAGTACAGTGTCTTACGAGCCTGATACGTTTGCTGCTGTAACGTCGGCGTTTTCAATGCTTAATAGCTCTTTAGGCGATCAGAATCCTCACTTCATGTTGGTTTCGTATTCACACCACCATCGTGGTGCAACAGTGTATGAAGCGCTGGCACGAGCGGCTCCAGATACTCTTTTCATGGGCGGCACTTCCAGCGGTGGTGTCTATGTTGGGGCTACGCCATCAGTTTCAGGCTCGAGCGCAAGTGATGGAAGCAAGCAAAATAGCAGTAGTGGGTTTAATGGTTCCTCTGTTGGTTTGTGGGGAATCTTCGATCCAGAGGGATCTTATGCAATATTAAATGCTGACTTAGAGCGAGAAACTCCACGCGATGCTGCACGGAGATGTCTATTTGATGGCATGAGAATGCTTGCAATAGAGCCTGAAGATAGCCCGGATTTTGTGTGGACTGTTGTTGGAGGCGGGGACAACAAGCTCAAAGTCGGAGAGGAAGAAGAAATAACGCGGACTATCAACGAAGTTGTGGACTGCTCGTACTCGGTTGTTGGTGGCAGCTCATCTCGCCATGCAGCTGATTATGCGACGCAATTGTGTTCTGAAGGTGGCATCGTCGGTTGTGTGACCAAGCACGGAGCATGTTTTGCGATTTGCTGCCCCAGTGTAGAGGTTGCTCATGCTTTATTTACGTGCTATGATGCAACTAGTACCACCTTTGTTGTCACGAAGGCAATTGGCCGTGAGTTGGCTACATTAGACGACAAGCCAGCATTGGAAGCAATCAACGAGGCAACTCATGGCATGCTCGCCGAATTGGTCCAACGGCCGGAAAAATTCAATCTCGAATCGAGTTTGCTTCCAGCCTATTACCCAGTAGCTCGAGAGCGACGTGGCCTAATGCCTCGTGGCCTTAAGCGGACTAGTTCGCGCTACCAGATGCTGCAACCAGAGACGTCAGATTGTGATCTTTCGTTGCAGTTAGGCGCTGAAGTTTGCCCCGGCGAACGCTTACGTATGATGACTCTTTCTCCACAAGGTGTGGCTTCTAGGTCGCGTCGTGGACTATGTGATGCTGTTCGAGTGTCTATTCCTACCTTAAATCTCTCAGATGTCATTGGCTGTTACGTCAGTATTGGTATGAGCTACGACCGTGTGCTGAATGGAAATTTAAGTGAGGTCGCTGATGCAGCAGGAAGAGCCTTTCCACGAGGTGCATCACTTTTGTCTGTATCGCATGGACAACAAGGTGTTTTGGCTGGTGGCAATGAGGCAATTTATGCTAATAGCATGCTGACAGCTTTAATCATTACGAATCGCAAAAAAGCTCAGAAACTAAACCCCCTTCGACCACTTAATGTCCGAATGGCCACAAGTTCCGCGTAAAATATTCAAGTGCAACGAGGATAGGAAAGCCTGCTTCATACATTCTACCATCGGAACATTGCTGTATAATCTATAAAATTAGAATCTTTGAGTTCTGTCCGTTTCAATTGAGGGATGATGTCACTTTAACTGAAAAGCTTTTCTCTCTTGAACTACACCTCACTTGAATGCAAACTGTGACCTCATCCTTGGAATAGTATGGTGGCCCAATTCGTCTTCTTGTCGCTAGACTATGTAACATTGATGGAATTTCTATTTTAGCTGATTTATTACAATCGCTTAATCTGTAACATCAATTTTATTGCCCATCCAAAGCAGGAACACACTGTCATGAATTCAGGCGGGATACATGTTCTGATAGCTGTCCATGCAAATTATTCTTCTCATGAATTGCTTTAAGACAATAAGTTTGCCTTAAGTGGTCAACACTGTAATACCTCTAGCCTAGCTATAGCAGAAAGCCATATCAGTTGATCCTGTGTGCATTCAGGACTGCAAAGCTGCTGAATGGGAGCAACTTTGTAGACTGGTAACGCAAGAGGCCTCATAGAGGTTGACAAAGAGGTTTTACAAAGGATTGAGCAAGCATTTGTCCGCTGTAATAAACTAAACGACTTAAAATCTATGCCAGTCATTTGAAGTCGTGTGACTGTATCGGAAAGCTACTGTGCACGATGATTAACGGACTAAAGATTTATACTATATCGCCACGGTTCGCCTACCGAACAACGTGATTAACATATTTAAAAAATTTAAACGAAGGCGTATTGCAATGGAAGTTTTGATACATCTTTACCGGCAGTTTTTAAGGTAAAAAGTATGAACCGACAGCCCAAAATTTTTGATGCTCATTTCCGTTTGCATTTTTGGAAAAATGATACACAACATCACCTTTGCAGGCGAAAAATTTCTCCTTACACGGACAGATGCTTGTTTTTCGTTGTTGAACTCGCTTTTCGAGATCGCTTGGCATGGGGCATCATGACGCGACCCCTTGTGAAATGCGATTGAATCATTCAACGAGATAGACTGCTAGTCATACAAAATTAGACAGCAGATGTCTGCAAATTCGCGAATGCTACACACAAATCTCAGAATTTCTGTGACTTTGTGAAATATATATAATATATGCGGCAAACCGAAAACTATTAAATGTGGAAATCAAATTCTTTACTATTCAAGACTTATCTTACCCTCGGATAATGTACTGCGCTCATTACGCTGATAAAACTCAATTTGCGAAGGGCATTTCATATCAGCGTTATCCTTTAGCTGGCGTTTCACAAGCGCCATCATATGAGAACCTTCTTGAATATTTTCAATCGAAAAAGCTAGCGACTCATTGATTAAATCGAGTTTAGATGTGATCTCATCCATTGCTCCGCTCGTGCCCGTCGAGCTCGCGCGCAGCAGATCATGAGCAGCTTCTAGAAAGTATCACAACAGCAAAAACAACACTTGCACTATAAGTTCTTTTATTTCTACTTGTAGCAATACATTGTGGAAACTCACTAAGAGAACTAAGCTTCTTCTCCATAGATAAAGGCTGCTGTTCGAACTCTGGCTTCTCTGAGCCCTGAGCGCGGAAGACAAAGGACGAAGATACAGGCAATGATTTGGAGATTGATGAGGCTGCACGTGCAGCTGTTAAAGTCGCTAGTTCTGTGCCATGCTCTCTAGCCTCTTGCAACCTCTTCAAGGCAAACTCGCGTAGCGATGATGTGTCCATTATAGTAAATTACAACAACTCAATTGTGTTACAGAACTTTTGATTTAATTATATTGACGTTCGAGGGTTTAATTGGCATGCGCACGCGTATTTGGGAAGATGCTGCCGCCATGAGCATCGTGAGCGTTCTAGGCTTCATTATGAACGAAGAAGGTGAAGTCGTTGGATCAGAACGCACGCAGGTGCTGTGTAAGCTCATGCCATCCATTCATACACTATCACATCGCGCGATCCTTGCCTTACTCGTAACACAACTCAGCGATGCTGATTCCCAAGTGTACAAGAAAGCTAACTCTATAGTAACTAAATTAAGGAATAATTCTCACTCTTTTTGCTATGTATTGACAGATTTTACGCGGAGGGTGGACTAAAAATATTAAATGAGTGGCTACTGGACGGCGTCAGCCGACGGGAATCGGGAATGTCGATGGAAAAGAAGCGCATTGAAATGTTTTCTCAAGTGCGAGCACTGTTGCGGGTATGTCATCGCAATATATCTGGGATAGTGGGTTTTGCTGATTAGCTTGCTGGGGCTTCTGTTTCAATAGATTCTTGACGTGAATATTCAGACAGACGCACAAAGGAAGCAGAATTCGTATCTCACAGGAACGTTTGTAAAAGTAATTTCAATTCTTGAGAATGCGGGGCCAGGTAGGTTTTATCTGAAACCCGTTGTGTCGTGTATATTTGCCGGATGTGTAAAATATCTTATATTCAGATTACGCCGCTGAATGGAGTCGACTTAACATTTATCGTCGTCATTTTGAAAGCTCTTGTGGCGTGCCCTCTTCAGTCAACGATGGGCGCAGTGACTTTCGACGAACAGTTAACAATCACATGAATGACAATAACTCTCGCAGCACCAAAGTCACTGCTGAAAAATCGATTCAGCGCCCCTGCACGTCTGAAACTTTATCTTCTTCCACTTCGACGAGTGATATACCGTCTCGAAAACCCGTTGCTGTAGATAAATCTACCGTATTGACCTCCACGGCTCCATCCTCGAAAAGTAGTACTAGTAGCCAACGTATCCCACCTTCATCAGTATTGCAGTATCAACCGAAATCATTTTTGCAAAGAGATACTGGTCTCAGCAAGCCCAATCAGAGTGGACTTGAGGACTACATGGATGATGAAGATGAAGATATGATGCTTGCTGATGAAGGCGTGATCACGAATGTGAACCAAGCAGCCTTAAGTGCTTCTCTCGAAAACAAAATCCGAGGGAATGGACACAATATGCAGTATGGAGAGCGGTCGCCGTGCAGAAAGTGCAAGCGAATGGCATCAAAGCGATGCACCAATTGTGAGTATTGTGCAAAATGTGGTCAAAAGGACAAATGTGAATTTAAAAACGTGTCACCGGCAAGCCAGTCATCCAACGGTAATAGCAACGGCAAGAATGTGGTTGGTTCGAGCATAAGTGGCAAGTCGCTATCAGTAAAGGACCGCAATGTACAAGTTCTTGGCTCAGTGATGGATGCCGCTATTTATCATGCCTTTCGTCAAGAAGATTTTCACTCAGTCTTCAGCCTTATTCAGAATGGCATGGACGTCAATTTTCAGCGAGTTGAGTCGGATCTCTCGTCAGCTTTGATGGCGGCTGCGCATCATGGCCGTGATGACGCTGCAGCCAAGCTGCTGAGCTTAGGTGCGAATCCTTGCCTTGAAGATCGTACTGGCAACAAAGCATGGAATTTTGCTGAGCGACGAGGACATACAGAACTCAAGGAAAAGCTTAAGAAAAGCTGTGAGGAGTGGGAATCCAAGCATAAAGACGGAGATGCCGAATTACAGTCCTAAAGTTTTCACTGTTGAGTGCAGCTGTATGCCTGACTAATAATCATGAATCTATGCTTGATTCACGATGGCTTTATTGAGGACTCAACTGCAAACCGTTTATCTTAAAGAAATTTACCACAGCTCGACCCGTTACTGAATCAGAACTTCCAGTCAGGAGCCACATCCATAGCCCAGACAAATTTCTCGCGCAGCGTCTTGGAAAATACTGAAGAAATCGGCACTTCGTTCTGCACAAAAAACGTGAAGTTGGTCGAACATAAGAGTAGTGTTAGTAGCTAGACGTACCCGTTTGCACCATGCGACGGTGATGCGCGGGTCCATGTAATTAAGCTTGGATGTGCCAAGCGCAACTTCCTTGTTGTCTGTCTTGTCTTGAAGACGAAGAGACAAAGCTTTGATTTTTTTTTTCCAGCTTTCAATTTTCTTTGCAACTTGATCAGCTGAGGGCATTCTTTGAAAAAGGTGAGCCTGAGCCTTTTTCGCCAAAGCGTCCTCTTCTTTGTCAGGAGCGGGCTTTTCCTTTTTAAGCTTTATACAGCTCGACTTGCCTTTCAAAATCAATGTTTGCATTTGCTTTAGATCCTTCAGTTGAGTTTTTAGCTGATCAAGCTGCGCATTCATCTTATCCAGTGTCGTATCAAAAGATTTAGGTGCAGTACGCTGGTGATTACATAATATTGCAACCTTTCGATTAGCATCGTTGTATAACACAACCTTCGGAGCTACTTCCAACATGCCCTGAGGATCCAATTCTTGTCCTGATGGCCCAGGAAGCTCCTTTTCAAGCGTGAACGAGGCATTGAACGTACGGAACACTTTGGCACTTAGCCCAGGCATGAGAGAACTCAAGTGTTTGTTCAACTCCGTGACAGACAACTCATGAAATACCTCCTCATTCTTACCCTTCTTAACACAAAATTGTTGCAAATTTTTATAAACTTGTCTGCCGACGTCGCCATATTGTGCTAATTCAACAGTGTTGTTGTAAGGCATTGAGTCCTTACCGAGAAAAGACAGCGTAAGTGCACAATTTTCGTCTTTAAATGACATGTGCTCCACACGCAAACTGCAGCAACCGACAGTGTCAGCTTCGTCCTCTCCCTTCTCGTTACCAACACGCAGCGCCAGTATATCAATGACCCACATAGCAGTTGACCGCTGCTTTGTAAACATGTCCTTAGCCTTGAGCCCCTTAGTATAGTCCCGACGAATTTTACTGATGCAATTTTTTAGCTGTCGAGCTTTTTCGTATTTGGCCAAATCTGATTTACCCTTAAAGCTTGAGCTAGCTGCAAAAAACACGTACTTGATTCCGCCCATGACATTTTCGTTCCAATATGCCAGCCACGAAACTGTATCGCGATGAATCACTTGCTTCCAAGCGTGGCCTGGAACATTGCAAATGGGTGCCCGATCTGAAATACCCACATTAACAGTCACATCCTCTGGCAGCACACGCTCCTTCAATGTACCAGTCTTCGGGTGCTCACCACGGCCGCGAAAGAGACCAGGTGGCTCAATTCGAAAATTCCCTACCTTTTCTAAATGTCCATCAACAAAAGCGAAGCCATTCGAAAATACTTCCATTTCACGCTTCTCTTTCTCCGGTAGTTTTTCTTCTTTCGTCATATTTTTCTTTTCATCACGCATCTTCTCTAAATGCGTAGCAATGCGTGAAAAGTCACATTCATCAAATTTCTTAACTTCGTGCTGCTTTCCCAACACTTTTTTGAAGTCCAAAAAAAAGTTCTTGTTAAAAATCTTGGCTGTTTTTGGATTGCCTAGTTGTGGTCCGTCTTTCGGAATAGCAGCGTAAAAACTAGCAACTTCTTCTTGACTGGGGGTCAACTCAATCTCCTTGCCATTGTACAGTAACGGCACGTGATGAGGTTTGTACGGGGGCGGAAACATGACACCGTTGTGCTCTAAAGTGCGCCATTGGATGCCCTCTGGTAGCTCCTCTGCATTCCACCAACGAAATGCTTTGATGGCCATATCCAGTCGCTCAGCCTTAGAGTGCACCTTAAGTTTGCGTACACTACTCGTTTTTTCCTTCTTCACTATCAATTTACCATTTGATGTCGAAAAGGTTGTTTTCACTTTTCTGCTTTTAATTGCAGGAGAGGAAGACGAAGTACTACTAAGCTTTCGCTTCATACCTGTCTCTTTCTTGACAACAACCTTTTTTGTGATAGTGTTAGCTTTCACGCGATTTTCTTCTGCTTTCTTCTTGGCTGCCGCATTTTTCTTTAGCTGTATGAGTGGTATACTATCCGAGTCCGAGTCTTCTTCAAGGATCTCATGTTTTACAACACTCAAAGCATTTTCATTCCGCATCGGCAAATTTTTTTTCTTACGTAGTAACGCGATGGGAATCAGGTCATCATCGCTGCTATCCATGACTGACGCGATGCTATGGCTATACATCGAAACTAATGTGAGATTGCGATCGAGACAAATATAAAGCAGGGGCTACATGACCAGCAAAAGCACGAGAGCAATTATCGAACTGTCTGTGTCAATTCTATGCTGCAGCTTAGCAGCCAGCAACTAGTCAAGTTCCCTCGATCAGAACGCACCTCGTCAGCTTCCTATTGCTTACTTGTTATAAGTCAGATCATAAGGCAAATATTAGAAGATGATTATTTTCAACCAATAATCTGTTATCATTAGGGTATTTATTCATTAAAATAATGACGGGAACCAACTCAGTAGCCACACAAGTTGCAGCGGTGACGGCCGGCGCTGCATTGGCCTACTATGTGGGATCACGCAGCAAAACTATGAAGCGTGTGACAGCTCAACGTCGTGATGTGGCACTAGCTGAAGCCAAGGCAGCGGCATTATCTACGAATTTGGAGCGTCGAAAGCTCACGTCTGTAGTGGTACGCGTTCCGGCTACAACGGCCAACATGGGTCCGGGATTTGATACAATAGGTATGGCGTTGGATATCTGGACTGAAATCTCAGTAGAAATTGTGGCTCTAAAGGAGGGTGATACGTCTAATGTGCGCCGCATTACGCTTACGAACGAGGGTGAGGGCGCTAAGGAGCTACCAACAGATGAAAGCAACCTAGTAATTGTAGGCCTTAAGGCCGCCTACAAGGCTTCAGGTGAAGAGATGCCACGCCATCTTAAAATTCACTGCAAAAATCGCATTCCCTTTGCACGCGGACTAGGAAGTAGCTCGGCTGGCATCGTAGGTGGTCTTATTGCAGGCCTTGCACTTGCAGGGATGCGTCTGCCTGTGCACGGTCAAGAAGAACTTTTACAGCTGGTGAATAAGCCTAAATGGTATCGTAACGATGTTTATACTAACATTGGTTCTTGTTTAATCTAATTAGGCCTCGTCAATTGAAGGACATCCTGACAATGTGGCGCCCGCCATCTACGGAGGCTTGCAGCTTGGTATATTTGCTGATGACCGCTGGTACTCTTCGCGTGTACAAATTCCAGATGGTCTACAATGCGTCGTGTTTATTCCCGACTCGACGGGTCCGACAAGCGTGGCACGTGCGATCCTGCCTTCGACAGTGCCCCGCAAAGATGCTGTGTTTAACATCGGTCGCGCTGCTATCTTTGTAAACGCTTTTCGATCAGGCAACCTAAACGAGTTGCGATACGCCACACAGGATATGCTGCACCAGCCGCAACGTGGTGCCGCACAATATCCCCACCTCGAACCGCTTATAAAAGCGGCTTTAGGAGCTGGTGCACATGGCTGCTTTCTAAGTGGTGCTGGACCTACAGTACTCGCCATTACTAGTGGCCGTGCTGGTGATATCTTCACCCAGCAATTAGCTGAACGTCAGGAAAATAAAGTGGCCAATGCTATGCGTGAAGCTGCTGCTGCCATGAACGTTCCAGGATGCGTGTTCATTACAAATCCTGATCATCGTGGCGCTTTCATTGTGCGAGCAAAACCTCAGTTTTCGGATCGCTCAGCCGCACGTTACGAGGGCGATGTCGCTGATCTTTAATTAGTGGTATAATTGGACCAAGACTTACAGTTTATACATTTCAGAGAAAAAAAAAATTGATCATTGATCAGATATTTTAAATTTATGTCGCACAAATCCGACATAAATTTAAAAGATATCTGATCAATTTGCAATTCGCGACAAAAAATCTTTCTGACACACAAAGTCGGCGTTAAGGTTAAGACATTTACTTTCTCTCATTGACATTACATCTTGCTTCGCAGAACAAAAACGTCGTCCATGTCCATGACTTCAAACTACCCCTTTGTACGGAAAAGTGCAAAGTTGCGCGATATTTTGCTGCGGGAATCACAGTATTTGCAGGACACTTGGCTCTATCCGGATGTTACTCGCGTGGTGAGTCTCATCTCACGACATCGCGATGATCTTTCAGAAAGGGTAACGGATCTGTAGAGGTGTTTAGTTTGCATTGCTGAATGGATGCGGATGACGTCACAAGGACTACGGTCATGTTTACAATTACTATCTTGATTACAGATGCAGATTACGGGCAATGGTAGTCGTTCATTGATCTAGATTAATAAGGGTACGATAAGAAGCCATTAGAACGATCTAGAAAGACAGGCTTATAGATAGCACAGAGTAGCGAATAGGAACCTAGATACATTCACCTCGGTTTTTGTCATCTTCTCAACAGGTAAACAGCCGCAAACAAAGCCTTGCTTCACCACACCTTCACCACCATAACTACCAAGCGCACCGAAGCAATCCTAGGAGATGGTAACTTCTACCATTGGGAGTTCAACATGAGGGTGGCCCTCGCACGAAATGGGCTTCTGACGGACGTTAAGGGCACAAAGGATGAGAGCGACATTACGGAGACGTGGCTCGTGAATGACGCCAAGACAATGGGTATAATTGACCAGGGCGTCGAAATTCATCACCAGACCAAGATTTGGTCTGCTTCTCGTGCCTTGGGGGCATATGGAACACTCCGCGATTTCTACAATCGTTTTACTCTGCACAACCGTGTCACGGTGACACGTCGCCTTCGTGAGCTTAAGATTGAAAGTGGTACTCGAATTGTGGAACATCTGGACGCGTTCGCCGAGCTTGTCGTGAATCTCCAAACGACAGGAGAGCGATGGATAAATCAAGACAGCTAGTGATACTTATGAGCAGCTTGCCGGCAATTATAAGATGATTTTTTCTATCGTGGACATCGCCAAGGACATCACTCTGACTGAAGTTAAGGAGAAGCTGTTTGAAGGAGTCAGACAGGCTACAGAAGAATGAAGCAAGTGAGAAAGCGTTTCGCGCCACAGGCAATGATGGACGGATCAAGGGCAGACAATGAAGTGGTCGCAATAATTACGTGCCATGCAAAGACGGCGGGTTTCGGTGCAAGTGCTTTAATTGAGACCAGACTGGTCATATGAGACGGAACTGCCCAGTTAAAACCTGTTCCAGAAACCGTTCCAGCGGTAATGATGCGGATTCTTGCTGTGGGAGAGGAGCAATCAGCATGCTGGCTGTTTGACAATGGTGCGACGTCACGCATGACCCCCACTTAAGTGACTTGATCGACTTCAAGCGACTTGAAGCCATCGTCAAGCTAACGATTGAGACCGCAAGAAATTGTGTTTCGAAGGAGCTGGAACAGTGAAGTTTACTGGCTAAGACGGAGGAAGCATATCGATGATGACAGTGTGGTTATTCCTGGACTTGAAAAGCGATGGGAAAGCTTGCCGAACGTGGAATAAGCGTAGAGTTTCACTATGCTTCGTAAACCATTTGGGAGAAGAACTATGCTTTGGTAACCGGGACAGGAAATGCGAGAGCTTACACACTGGATTATCAGCAATTGGAGGCACGATCGGTGCAATACTCGGGAGCTGATAGTAAGTGGGGGCTGTGGCACGCTCGTATGGGACACCCAGCTCTGCCGCAACTAAACAATTAGATTCAGTTTCGTTTTTGAACTGAATTGTTCGTTTGCCTTGGTAAGGCTTTAGTACTTAGAAGTAGCGGGTTGTGGCTCGCTACACATGTATTGGTTCTTTAATAAAACGTAAGGTCGGTGACCTTAGCTTAGCTTCTTCTAAGCAACGAGCTACGGCAGCCCCGCTGCAACGTGGGGTTTACGACCATATCGAGTTTCACTGGAACAGTTGATCGAATAACTCCTGTTTCATCTTCGTAGAGAATTCGGTCCATTACGACTCGGAGTCGGATCTACGGTAGGTGCTACCATATGGAACGGGTTAATCGGCACTTTGTACATAGAAAGCTTCGACTCAAGAAGACCACTGAAGATAGGCGTACGCTCTACCTTAAGCGAAACTTATAATTATGTAGTCAATTTTTCATCTCTTCAGGAACTTTTACGAAATATAAACTATCTACAAATTCTTCTATGTTAGTACCAATACTTTGGTACCTTTGACTTTGTACAATTCTACAAAAGAGTTCTGTGTTATTGTAAAGTTAGACAAAAGTGTATTTTGTACAATTGCACAAAAGGGTAAGGTGTATATAAATAATACCACAGTGTAACAAGAGCGAATTCACAAGCAACACGATTGACAATTTTCATTTGCTGCATGCCATCAATTGAATTTTGCAGTGAAGTCTGAAGATTTTCAGTAAAACCATTGTATTATTCCTTTTGAGAAATGTGAAGTGACGAATAAGCAGCGCACAATTGATAGAAGCTGCGAGTTTATAAAGTTGGTAATAATAATTCATGTATAAATCAATTTATAAAGTTAAGTGTTGACAGAAAGGATCATTTACATTTAAAAATGCCACGGCTACGTAGAGGAGCAGAGCCATATAAACTTATTAGCTAATACCCTACGAAATACGTTGAAGTTGCGCAATCGCATGTCTTTTGCCTTAATGATTGACCTCAATGTTCGTATAGAGTATTTTCATATTTTGTTGCAAGGCTCATCATATGGTAAAAAACATTGTGAGGACTACTTAGCTATGATCATAGATATTTATATTCGACTGAGTAATCCGATGCCATGCCACTATACGCTTGATAAATTGCAGAAATGCCCATTTGCTACCTTATAAAATTCTTAAGTCACACTTCGAAGTCTGACTACCGCAAAACCTGGCAGAATTGCTGAATTAAACATCTATAGAAACTAAAGAGCAGACTAGAAGTGAATTCCAAAACATGAACGCAATGTTCATGTTTTATAACACTTGAGGTTCCTCACACGTACATATGACACTTAATATTGAAGTATGATGTAACACACCTTTTGTCCTATGCTACTTAGAAAATTACCAAGTGGTCTAATGAATTTCTTAAATTTGGCAAGTAAATTATCTTACGTAAAATCTACTACTGCTATCGAACTTAGTAGTTATTTGCTTAAAAAATAAAAAATTAGAAACCTCTTAATAATCATAACTGAAATAAAACCATTTTCAAGGCTAAATCTTCATAATTTTTGTTGTAAAATATCTATATGCAAATGTGACAAAGAACAAGTGAGTGATGTAGACATGTGTGAACTGTACAATCCAGAATACAGCTCACAGGATAGGTTACGGTGTAGACTTTAGAGCGATCAGACGACAATCTGTGCAGGCAGCTACCTAACTGTACAATACATGGTACCGTGCACCGCGTGATACGTTGACTTGGTTCCCACCTAATATATGAACAACTCACGCAGCCACAATGCGCGGGCATCAATGCGGCGTCATACGTCATCAAGTAATCATCATCCATGCTTTCCACTTACTCATGACAACTTTCCAATTGTGTCATGCTCACCCGAGCAGCATGTAAATTATAAAAACTTAGCTGATCATTTGTCCATTGAAGCTGTTCAAAAGGCCAAGTGGGCTATGAGCTATGAAGACGGTACCAACGGATGGAAACTCTCGAACTCGCAACGCCAGTTTCGAGACACGGGGATTCGCACTTATAGTCGACGAAGTGACTCTCGTGATCGTAATAGCCATCGAGAGATCGAATTTCGGTGCATGGGCAAGGTGCAAATGTCAGTTGGTCATTGCTTAAACGCGCTTTACTCGGACAATACCACAGATTTTCGTAGTAATTCTACATTTCTCATTGAAAATGCGCTAGACGCTGTCGTGCTTAATGCAATAGAGACCAAGACAGATGAAAAGCCACATCATTATCTCGGTCTTAATTGGCTTGCAACTCGCTCGTCTGGAATATTTGGAAAAAATCGGGATGTCTGCTATCTTAGAAGTACGGGCACGACAGTGGATGTTAGTAAAACCAACATTGGCTACGTGGTCATGCAATCAGTTGACATACCTGAGAACACATCTTTGGAAATTCCGCTTGGCTTTTTACGTTGTAAGATGTCGGCTGTGTTGTTATTTAAAGACAACACAGACAATGATGCTTCCAACGTGTTATGGCAGGGTTCTATAAGTATGAATGACCACTCATCTAGTAAACTCATTCAATTCATTCACGAAACCTTTACATCAATAGTTTCCAACCTAAACAAGGTGGAAGAAGCTAAATACATGGCTCGACAGGTGGAAGGCCAAAGGTTTCAGCGCATGATTGCAGGGTACGTGAAAACGTTTAAATGTGTTTTTTTGCTTGTTTCTTGACCACGTGCCTCTCTTAGGGTTGACCGGAAATTCTGCTACATTTGCCATCGAAAGTTCTCTCTTGTTCGACAACGTTCCCGATGTAGTGCTTGCGGAGAGAATATGTGCAAGGATTGTGAAGTGTCAAGTCGCGCTAAAGCGTTCAACAGCGCTAGCTTTGATGTGCCTACGCCATCGCTTAGTCGTCCGGAATATGTGCTGTTTTGCAAAAGCTGTGTTGCTTCTGCACGTCACGATATGAAAAACCAGACAGCGAGCTGCAATGCACGTTTAAATCCATCATTCTTGTCAACCGACAACTTGAGCTCGATGGACAACGGAGACCATTCTCCGACACAAAATGGTAATTTGTCTGGCCAGAATCGTAGCCCAAGTCACAACCCGATGCAAAAGCTTGCAGAAAGCAAGCACTCGGATCGTACTTCGTTACATATCGGATCAACAATAAATATGTCCAATGCCGACGAAGTGCCTCTCAGTCCACTATCCGTTCGCATGCAGCGTGAAAAGCGACGGTCTCGACTTAACACAGATGTTTTGGAATCGTACGATGATTTTGACAGCCACGAGTACGATTTTCCATGGGAAACCGGTGAGTCCGAGCTGCTGGAGCCCAATCGAGCCAGCAGCAGCAACTACAATAGCCTCAAGTGTGCATCGGTAGACCGTCGTGGATCTCAAGAAGGTCGTGACAATGATTTGGCTACTCGCCTACGGGAGATTTCGCAACGGGCACAGGACGCTCTGGATGTAACCAAGCGCAATTCAAGCATGATGAGCGATACGAGCAGTGCCCCTCGTATGTCGGACCTTTCGTCGGCGTTCAAAGATTTAGACAAATCCATTGCAGAGCAGGCAGATTTGCTTAACGTCCTCGGTTTCGTCAGTACCGGTCGTGTTTATATGGAAAATAATGGTCCAGAACAGGGTGGTGTGCGTATTAGTGAATCGTCTAGCGTCATAAGTGACGATCGTTTTGAAGTGATCACTTAGTTAAAATACTTTTTCTTAAAATGAAATACAGCCTTAAAGTACCGTTTGTAAACGATATGTCTATCGCATATACAACCCTTATTAGGTTTGTGTTGATATACATTTAATTCTGTTGCAGGGAGACCTGCCGATTGATCATGATTTTCGAATTACGTCTTGAGGCTTCCAAGTTGTTATAGTTTGTAAGGTAAGCACGAAAGCATATTCGAATACCCTCGTCTTGTACAGCCTCCATAGAGCTCAAACTGTCTATAACTTTTAGTATTTTGTTTACAACTTGCACTACCTCAGTGCTATGGACGTTGACTGGATTCGAGTACAAAGGCTCAAACCCTCATGGCGTCATTCAATGTGGGGCACTCACACGCCTTGGTTGGTCTACTTTCAGGGCCAGAAAATATTTGTCACCCATACATTTACCAAGTTAGATCCTGAACGTCAGTGGAATTCGTGATTAACTTTTTTCCTTGCTTCATCCGTCAAAATGTTGCAAAATGGTCTTGTAAGAAAGCTGGGGTCATAAAAGCTCGATTTTAAAGAAGGCATATGTCTCTCGATCATCGCTCGTGAATGGAGTCGTTCTAACTTGTCGCCGTTCGCTACCACATCATCAGATCCTTTGATCGAGAAGGTGCCTCGACATAAAGGAGTGGTCATAAGTTCGATTGCTGTGTTGGTCACCAGGTACAATCTTGGCCAGGGCAAAGGCGATACAATACATTATGATGACAATAAAGTTAAAGAAATCAATCCGTTTCGTCGCTGGCCTTATGTCTTTCGCAACGGCTGCACAGATCTTTCACGCAGCATGTAAAGTATATTATTCATACAGTGAACAGATATGCTTCGTATGACTTTTTTTGGCTTGTTCCTAAACGGATGTCACTTTTAAATCTAGCAAGAGCGTAATATGATAATAGGGTAGTATATTACATCGCGATCTCAAGCCAAAAAACCGCAACATCAACGTGCTCTTTCTCATTTTTATCCCAACTTGTCATCATGGAGGATCAGAAGCACGTGTCGTTACTTGATTTATAAATTATTGTGGCCAGACTTTGCGGGCTGACGCCCAAAGAAAAGCGCTGATATCTTTCCCTTCTCTTCTCCTCTTTTTTCTTCTCTAGCAGTCACAAAAGCTTACTGCAAGTCTTCAGGGCTTGGCATTCAAAAACAAAATACATCAACAGAACTTTAAGACCACTCAGTGTTGCTGGCACTCGAAGGTCAAGGCTCTACTTGCACCCCAGCTCAAATGCGGTGACATGGTCTTACTTACAGCCACCCTACCATTATGGCATAAACTGTTGATGTCTAGTATTTTGTCAACCACGTAGAACGTAGGCAAGCCTAGCTTGTTGATGGTAACGGCGAACGCTTATATATGTAAGCGGTCCATTTCGGTCTGGGCCATTGGTTGGTCCACCGTACTGCCAGGTTTCCTAGCGTACATTTACATGACAATGAGAATATGTGTACTTTATTCAAGCAGTTGTCTGTGCATGTGACCCATACAACCAGATCAAGAGCATCGCTTTGCTTCCCTGATTTTCTACAGCAGAAAAATGAGTACATATTTATCATCGTCGTTAATGGCAGCGCCTGCATCATGGATGGAGTAAAGACCCACGGTACACAAGGCGATTATCCAGTTGACACAGCGATTTGCCACATCCTGGCGACTCAAAAAGCATCATGCAA